TTCATCAACTCTAAAAGTAGAACTAACATGATTTCACCTGTGCCGCTCTTAGGTATATATTCCAAAGAATGCTAAGTTCTGCCACAAAGATACTTGAACATGCATATTAATTACTGCACTATTGCCAATAGCTAAACTAAGAAACCAGCATAGATGTCAATTAACATAACGAAATGTGTCATTATCTACAATTGAATTTTATTCAGTCGTAAATAGAAGTAATGTCATTTGCAGGCAAATGGATCATTATGTTGAGCAGAACAAGCCAGACTCATAGATCACATTTTCTTCTGTATGTGTAATCTGTGTGTATGAGTGTGTGTGTGTGTGTGTGTGTGTGTGTGTGTGTGTGTAGGACATAAAAGTAGAATGGAGTCTGTGAGGGGGAAAGGAGAGGGCAAAAAGGGATGAGGGAACTAGAGAGTGATGGGTAGGAAGAAAGACAAAATATTTTTTCTAGAATATAGGGTATTCAGATTTAACTGTAAATATGGACATATGTATTTATTTTTATTTTTATTGAATTTTTGTGACTTTTTTTTTTTTTTTGGTCGTTTTGAGACAGGGTCTCCCTGTAGCCCCAGCTGTCCTGGAACTCACTATGTAGACCAGGCTGGCCTTGAACTCACAGAGATCCTCCTGCCTCTGCCTCCCGAGTGCTGGGATCAAAGGCGTGCACCACCATGCCCGGCTGAATTTTTGTGACTTTTATACAAGACAATTTTATGGTATTTAGACCCCTTCCCCATCTGTACCTTCCCCCACTCTCCCTCCCCTCCCAATTCAACACACACACACACACACACACACACACACACACACTACAGCCTATAGAGTCTAACTTGTGTACTCACATGCCCTCAGCATGGGTCCATCCACTGGAGCCTGGTCTCCCTTCCAAGAGTCTTATCCCTATAAGAGACTGTCTCTCCCCCTCCCCACAGCCATCAGTTGCCAAGAATTTCTCGGGTTGGTTTGGAATTTCTTACTCACTTCCGCATGTCTATTTTGTCTGGTTTGAACTTGCCTAGGACTTGTGCCTGTCGTCACCATTGCTGTGAGTTCATATGAGTAATGACCAGCTGTCTGGCTGTTTACTTATGGTCATCTACCAGCTCTGGCTCTTACAGTCTTACCACCCTCTTTTCCGCGATGATTCCTGAGCCTTGGGAGGCAGAAGTTTTAAATAAGTGTCTTACTCAGGGACGAGCACTCTGCTTGTTCTCTGTACTTTGCACATTAGCCAGTTTAGGGTTCTGTGTTCACCATCTTCTGCATGACAAAACCTCTCTGAAGCTGGGTGTGGTGGTACATGCCTTTAATCCCAGCATTCAGGAGGCAGAGGCAGGTGGATCTCCGTGAGTTCAAGGCCAGCCTGGTCTACTTAGTGAGTTCCAGGTCACCTGGGGCTACAGGGAGACCCTGTCTCAAAAAGACCAAAAAGAGAAAACCTCTCTGGTCAGAGTTGAAAGATGCACTCATCTTACGTGCAGAGGTTGCATTGAAAGTGTATAACTTAGGGCTAAGAGTCTCAGACAATTGTGGAACCCTGTGTTAGTCTCTATCTGTTGCAAATAGAAACCTCCTTGGTGAATGGTGAGAGGTACACTTGGCTGTAAATATAAGAATGCATATGTAGAATATAGTAAGATACTGTGTTGGATTAGGGATGTTGCAAAAGTAGGTTTTTCTCTAGGACCTATGACCTCTCCGCCGTGTGTATTTGGCTATGTTTACAGTACCACATGTAAGTGCCTCCCATTGAGCGGGCCTTTATTCCAATTAGATAGCTGTTGATTACTCCCCAAGATAAAAGTGCCACTACTATATCAATAGCAATAGTTTGCTGGACCAGCCATTGTTTTTCATTAGGCTTTACAGGGTAGGACCCTGAGTAGGACCATTGATTGGTTTTCTTCCTTGACAGCTTGCATAGTAAGTATCCTCTGATACCGTGAGACCATTGATTGGGTAGGACCACTGATTGGTTTTCTTCCTGACAGCTTGCATAGTAAGTATCCTCTGATACCGTGAGACCACTGATTGGTTTTCTTCCTGACAGCTTATATAGTTTCCTCTGATACCGTGAAAGCTAGTCTTCAGGGAGGGGACTTCCAGGTCAATTCCAGCTTGATTCTCCAAGTCCTGTGTCCAAAATATGGCCTGTCTTCAGCGATAGGGTGCTGTACAGCAAGGAAAACAACCAGAGTGAAGAGGAAGCCCACAGAGTGGGAGAAAATCTTCACCAGCTATACATCTCACAGAGGATCAATATCCAGAATATACAAAGTACTCAAAAAACAAAGAAGCAAGTAAACAAATGACCCAATTAAAAAATGAGCTATGGCTCTAACAGAGAGCTCTCAAAAGAAGAAATAACAGCTAAGAAACGCTTTAAGAAATGTTCAACATCCTTAGTAATTAGGGAAATGCAAATTAAAACCACTTTAAGATTTCATCTAATCCTAATCAGAGTGGCCAAGATCAAGAAAATAAATGACACCAAATGCTGGAGTGGATGCGGAGAAAGAAGAAATTGTTGGTGGGATTGCAAGCTGGTGCAACCACTGTGGAAATCAGTATGAGGAACTCTTAAAAACAAAATATGCCATGTGATCTAGTTATACCACTCCTTGGCACATACTCAAAGGACTCATCCTACTGCAGAGACACTTGCATATCCATGTTTGTTGCTGCTCTTTTCAAAATAGCTAAGAAATGGAAGCAATCTAAATGCCCCTCAATTGATGAATGGAGTATAAAAATGTGGTACATTTACACAACGGAGTTTTTCTCCATGGTAAGGAAAAATGAAATCATGAAATTTGCAGGTAAATGAATGGAACTAGAAGCTAACATAGACTCAGAAAAATAAACAATGTATGTTTTCTCTTATTTGTGGATCTTAGCCCTAAATCTTTATATGTGATCTACATCCTGATGTAACTGCAGGAGCCAGGAAAATGGAAAGGAACCGTGGGATGAAGGGGAAGAAGGAGCTCAAGAGAGGGGGGTAGGAGACAGGTATTATCATGGGGGAAATGGAGAAAGGGGGTACTTTAACTGGGGAAGTAGGAGAGAGGGTTATAGGTGGGGGGCAGAGGAGAGATTAATAGTGCTTAGATGATGTGGGAAAAAAGAGGGAATATTAGTTCAAAGTCCTACAGAAAAATGGACATACAGTAAACATACAGGTGCTTGTGTATAGCTGAAGGCTGTGTATAAGGCTATATAAAACAGAGTGGTGGGAGAAACCCTCCCTTGGAGTTGTTGGTCAGCGGAGTTCATGAGACTCCCAAAATAACACACAAAGCTCTTGACTGCCTCTCAGAATTTGAAGGTAAGAATGTATGTATTTATTTGAAAGTAGAAGAGGGACTATTTATATGGAAAAAGGGGGCAGGAAGAAGAGAAGGAAAAGATGAGGGAAGGCAATGGGTAGAGTAAGGAAGAGGCAGCAGCGTGTGTGTGGTAAAACCCTTCATTTTGTGCACTAAAATTAATATAAAAGGGAAAGGCTTATTTCGACTCACATTTTTGGAGGTTTCAGCCAAGGGTCAGTTGGCCTTGTTGTTTTGGTCTGTAGTAAGGTCATGCAGACTGACAGAGCAAGCCCTTCATCTTGTGGCCAGATGGCGAAAAAGAGAGCATGGAAGCTGGTAGGCTCTCACAGTCGCTTCTGAGGGCATGTCCCCAGTGAGCAGAGGATTCTCTCTAGATAGATTCTGCAACATTGATGTGATGGTCTGAACGAGAAATGAGGTACCTGTAGGCTCATGTATTTGAACACTCACCAGTTGATGGCACTGTTTGGACGACCTTATGGAACCTTTAGGAGGTGCAGCCTTGCTGGAGGAAGTGTATCCCTGGGAATGGGCCCCGTTTCTTGTTTGCTGTCTGCTCTCTGTGCCCTCACCTGCTGCATGCCTTCCCCACCATTATGGACTGTCTGTTTCGAACTGTAAGCTAGAACAGACTTTCTTCTGTACTTTGCTTTTGGTCAAAAATGAGCTGATAATTACGGTCCGCTGGGGGAGATACCCCAGAAGCAAATGATAGCCCCAAGTTAAACCACATTTAAAAAAATAAAACATGTCTCAGCAGATTTAATTTTTTTCTTAAAGAATGTTCTTTGATCATATTGGCATTATATAGGAAATGTGTAATAGGAAAATATCCAAAGTGTGGAAGAAATCCTGCAGTAAGACTAGAGCAATGGGCGCAAGAGGAAAGGTAGCATCAGCGGGGACTGGTGGCAGCTGGATCTTGAAAGTGAAGGAAAGACGCAAATCTGAGGTGCTCAGAAACACTCAAGAACTCAGTTTAAGAAATGTGTGGAGATAACTTGTATGTTTGGATTATAGTACATTGCTATATAACTTTTAAAATGGACTATTTTTTCACTATAGTCTATTAACATTCATCTTCTAGCAGTACATCTAATTGATGTTTAAGATACCAGAGCTGAGTGGGTTTGAAGATGGCTGGAACTCATCCATGATGAAGACTTAAACCACATGGGCCATGAATCTGAATAAAGTGATGTCTTCCCATCTGCTGAGCTCCTTTGGCCTCTTGTACAGCAGCTATGGCTGCTTAGTGATGTCCAGCTGATAAAAGCCACGTGTCTCTAGAGGTTGGACTCAGGGCATAGGTACCAGGCCAGGCTGGGTTGGGTTTACAGCAGAAAATTCCCTTGTCCATGGAGTGGCAGTAGTAGGTAGAGCCAAATTGACAGAACTTTCTGGTGGATTCCCAGAAGGTTTTCAACACAAAGACATGGGCAGAGCCCCTTCAGAATATGTCTTGGGTCAGGTTCACTGGTGTATGAGACCTGGTTTCTAGGAGAGTCTTATTCTAAACATAGTGTTGTGGCATCTTGGGTTTGGTTTCGGCAGCTTTCCTTGCTTGTCAGAACCCTACTTGGTCCTCTGCTTTGCTGTCTTCCATTAGATGCATTAGGCTGTTTTCAAAATCCACCTTGGTCCTTTGTATTTCAGCCTGAGAGGAAATTTGGTGTGGTAGTGGTTGGTGTTGGCAGAGCTGGCTCCGTGAGGATAAGGGACTTGCGGAATCCACATGCTTCTTCGGCATTCCTGAACCTGATTGGCTTCGTGTCCAGGTGATTCCCGCTTGGTTTGTGCTCCATAATTAATGAAAATCACGGTAAGAAATAAGGTCACAGGGCATGGAGACTTTGTAGACCCAGAGTGAAGGAGAGCCAGCTCCCCCAGAGAACCAAGCACAAGGTGCTCTCCATAAGATGTCTAGTCTGGAGAGGTCTGGGAACTGAAGAAAGATGGGCCTACAGCCGTGGCTGAGATGCCTAGTGCGAACCCCAAACACAGCCGGAACGAGCATGGTGTGTTTACTCTGGAAGGTACACAGTGAACAAACGTAGGTTTTCCCCGAAGGAAGGCTTTAGGTGTGTGTCACTTAGTCATTCAGTTGTCAAAACAGCCATCCTCATGGTTTTGAGCTTTAGATTCCTTATGTCATTCTGAGTACCATTATCAACCCCAGTTTACAGAAAGGGACGCAGAGACACAGAAAGGTTAAGTAATTTTTCTGACGCCATACAGCTGGCAAACCTAAGAACTAGATTTAAAGGTTAGCCCCTTGACTCTAACACCGTGTTCTTTTCACAGTGGTAATCTTGAGCTGTAGGTTTCATTATGGCATTTTCAAGCAAAATCTGTTGTAACTGCTTCTCCTTACCCCTCAGCTGCCCTCTCTTATACTCCGCTCCCCCCACAAGCTCCTTTCTACTTTCATTGCACTCTTTCTTAAGGACTTTTTTCCTATAACTCAATGAAAACCACATGTGGCCCTGTTTCTCCTCTCCTGCCTCCTCATCAGATCTGCCTCCATCCCATTCCCCAGCTTATTCTTTGCAATGCCATTTATCAATATTAATAATGAAGCAGACAAGACACTGGAATGAGTGTGATGACGTGGCGGTGACCAGTCCAGTCAACTCTCTACTTCCAGTGCTTCATGAGAAGTGTCAGATGGGGCTGGAGAGATGGCTCAGTGGTTAAGAACACCGACTGTTTTTGCAGAAGACCCAGGTTCGAATCCCAGCACCCACATGGCAGCTAACAACTGTCCGTAGCTCCAGTTCCAGGGGATCCGACAGCCTCTTCTGTCCTCTGCGGGCATTGCATGACACAGGTGCACTTACCTACATGCAGGCAATACACACATACACATAAAATAAAAAAATAAAATAATAATAAATGTCAGATAAATATTTTCATAAAGCGTAAATAACTGATGTGGCAGTCACGCAGAAAAGTGTTCATGTTTTAATTTACAGAACCACATTACTCCAGTCTGCCAGCGCACCCCCACCTGAAGTTTGGATCATGTCCTTGAGGTTGAAGTAGCAATATCTTTTCCCTTGAATCCTAGTTGGCTGCCACAGTGCATGCCTTGGGGCCTCCTCAGCCCCCAGAGTCTGCCTGACTTGAACTGGCCCTTACTTTAAGGCATAAGAGAAAACTATGTGTGCTGGAAGCTTGGCCAGCCTTGTCTTCCCTGTCCATTCCAGGGGAGCTGCACACAATGGGGAAATTAAATTAAAATGGGTTATTGTTAACCAGCATACCCAGCGCACCCCCACCCGAAGTTTGGATCATGTCCTTGAGGTTGAAGTAGCAATATCTTTTCCCTTAATCCTAGTTGGCTGCCACAGTGCATGCCTTGGGGCCTCCTCAGCCCCCAGATCATGTGGGAAGATGGCCCATTCTCAGCCTTGCTTTACTGCATCTTGCTGTTATTGCATTTTTGCCTATGACCTTGCTGAGTTCTGCTGCCTCTCAGAAATGCCTGTTCTAAAACCCTAGACTAGACTAGATGTGCTCCTGCCCTCCTTGATTCCCTCATCTATGTTTTTATACATAATTCTCAACATTAATCTTTTTATTTTATTTTTTTACTGGTGGAGGTGGTGGTAGTGGGTTTGTGTGTGTGT